TCTCGGTCTTTTCTATCTTTTTTATCTTCTCTTGTCATTCTTCTCTCTCTAAATTCTCTCTCCACCTCTGTCTTCTCTCTCTCTTATTCTCTTTCAACCGTCTGTCTCTCCCTCTACTTCTCTTATCCACTCTGTTGTCTTCTCTCCTCTTTCTCTCACACTGTTCTCTCTCTCTTCGCTTCCCCCCAAAATCCTCCCTTCTCTCCCTATCTCTTCTCCGCTCTCCCCCTCTCTTCCCTCGTATCTCTCCCCACCCCCAAACCCTTCTCCTCTCCCCCCTCTCTCTCTCTCCCTGCCCCTCCCTCTTCTCGTTCTCTCTCTCTCTCTCCTACAGGTTATCATTCCATCACAGACAAACCCCTTATCTGTCTCTGTGTAACTTTATAACTGGCCCTTTTTCAACACATGTCCACCCCAGGACCAACCCCGGCCAAGCATTTTCGAATACTGTTGATTATTGCTTTAGAGATAGGGGAAAGTTTTTTAAAAGAGGTAAATAAAGGATTGTGTTTTTGTGTGTGTGTGTGTGTGTGTGTGTGTGTGTGTGTGTGTTGTGTGTGTGTGTTTGGGTGTGTGTGTTTGTGTGGGTTTGTGTGGGTGTTTGTGGTGTGTGTGTGTTTGTTGGGGTGTGTGTGTGTGTGTGGTGTGTGTGTGGTGTGGTGTGTGTGTGTGTGTTGTGTGTGTGGCGTGTGAGTGTGCGTGTGCGTGTGCGTGTGGTGTGGTGTGGTGTGTGTGTGGTGTGTGTGTGTATGTGTGTGGTGTGTGTGTGTGGTGTGTGTGTGGTGTGTGTGGTGTGTGTGTGTGTGTGTGGTGTTTGTGTTTGTGTGTGTGTGTGTGAGTGTGGGGGGGGGGGGGGGGTTGTGTGTGTGAAAGTGGGGCGGGATGGAGAGATAAAGAGAGAGAGAGGGCAGAGGGAGGGAGGGAGGGAGGGAAGGAAGGGGTTAGGATAGTTCACCAGGCAGAGTTCACTTGACTTCAGAGCAAATGGACAGTAACTTTTTATTTTATTTTTAACGGTTGAAGTCTCAGCCCTCTTCAATTCTCCGATTGCCCCAATTACTAATCACAGAATGGAATAGGTTAAGAGTGTGGGTCAGTGTCGTAGAAGTTAGATCAAACCAGAGTGGATTGGCATGTCTTGGTCCAGTCCTGAGAGTGAGAGTGATCAGTGCGGCTCTACAGAGGACCTGACTGGTGCGGGTGAGTAGTGACTGACGTATTGTAACATGGCTCCATGTTAGGTGTCTGGCGCAGCGTGCCAGCTGGGATTCAAGAGGCCCCTACACTCTTAGAAGTAAAGATGCCTGGAAGAACATTTTGGGGTTCTAAAAATTGTTTACAAAGATAATCGTAGAGGTGGCAGCCGGTCAGAAGATTGGAGGCATAGCTTATTTGAGGCATGGCTTTCAGATTTTTGGCCACCTGTTAGAGTAAATGTAATTCCTGTTCATCATGTTAAGTTTTTACACTGCCAATTAAAATTTGCCTTGAATATTTATGCATATTTTACATTCTAAATACTATTAATAATACTAGCATTGCTGATTAGATAGTAATAAAGTGGTAACTGTTCCAACTTTGGAATTTACATTGACTCTTGAGGAACTCAAACACCCGTCAGTGTTCAACCTTAACATGTGATGACAATACAACAGAACATATGAACAGGAATGACATTTAATCTAAAGGGTGGCCCCAAAACAAAGTATGGTAGCCATGCCCCTACTAAGCCACGCCTCCAGTCCAGGGTTCCTCAAGGAACTCTTTGCTATTTTGAAACATTAAAGGTTCCTTCAGGAACCCCTCAACTAACCGAAGGTGCACATTTTAACCATTGACTAGCAAGGGGTTCAGGGTTCCTCAAGTCACCACTCATTCTAAGAGTGTACCTCATTTCTCTATTAGACTCCTGCACTCAGTGATGTTACCATGAATGCGAGGTTAACTTGCAGTTTTCTCTAACCTTTTGAATTGTCCATTTTGACTTGCATTGTTGAGTAACAGCCGTGGTATTTTTCATGTCATGCTTGAAGATGAGTTCAGACCAGGGATGGCCAACTGGTGGCCCGCAGCCCTCCTTTTGTAGCCCCCCCTGGATCAATTTCCAAAAACTACATACACACAATTATTTATTTTTGTTGTTTTTGAGAGTTAGAATAGTAGAATACACAAGGTGCAATTTTAAAATGTGTTTGTGCATCTGCAGTTTTTCCTCTTGTAATGTCAGTCACTGACAGTCACTCAATTAGCCCACGTCAGCAACAAAAAAGAAAATGTTGTCAATTGGTCTAGCCAGCTATCTAAACTTGGTCAAATTACCAACCAGCCCCCCCCCCCCCCCCCCCCCCCCCCCCCCCCCCCCCCCAACCAGATATCATATGCAAAATATCTCTCCACCCTATGGCAAAATGAGTAGAATTGCATGAAATGTGATTTTAAAAAATGCTAGATCATCTCTTAGCCCAAAGACAAGATGTGTAGAATTGCAGAAAACTTGCTCAAAAACAGAAACGTTTTCTCCAAGCCCCCAAAATTTCACTTAAGGCCCCCAAAAAGGCTAGGGTCGGCTCTGACTGCATGTGTGGGTATGGATGTGGGTATGCAGACCCACAAGCCACTGCAGCCCCTCATGATGAGTTCAGATTTATTGTGGCCCCCACCCTCATCAATGTTTCCAATCTCTGGTTTAGGTTATTGACATATGTTGGTGTCTATGCATTCGATGTATTGCTAGAGTGATTATACACAATTTTCCGTATTTTTTTTTACAAAAACACACAATGCAATGCTATGTTTTTCTATGCATAAATTAGTCATTAGGTCAAAGAAAAGGAATTACAATATCCGGAACTAAATTTAAAATATGTTGCGAATGAGGTAACGTCAACGCGTGGTCTCGTGCGCAACAGGTCGGGGCCTCATCATTGATACAGCTTCAGCTTACATTTGTTTCATGAAAAATATCAGCGAAGATGGGGCGGATCTTTTCAATAGCGCTTGGTACTCAAAGTTCAGTCGTTATTTAAAGTAAATTATTTATGGTTTCCAATCGAAACATTGACATCAGTAACAGTCAAAGTATTCCGGCAATCTGAACGAAATGTATTGCCCAACATTTTACAGTCAGTGTGTAAAATGTGGTGTTTTACAACTTCTCTCAGAGATTTGGCTGTGTTTGTAGACGTATGTGTGTGAATGTAGGCTACAGTTTAAATGTTAACTCACTCGAAATAATTTCCGAGTAGCCTTTATGATCGGAAATGATGAAGATTAGGCTATAACAGCATGAACATGTACGAGAAAAGCAACGAAATGCATGTTATTTACAATGATAAAACAAATTATAATTGCAACAATTATTAGTATTGCGTGTTTCATCATTTCGAAATTATTATTAAAGTGTAGTTCTGGTTATATATATACTTGATTTAATGGATAGGCCTAATGAAATCAGCTAGATCTGTGGGTGAGTGTGTGCGTGCGTGTGTGTGTTTGCCCTCGCAAGTGCGTGCGTAAATGTATGTGAGTGTGTGCGCGTGCCTTATAGGGCCCCTCTTATGTATGTCTCGAGTTGACCTTGGATATGTAGTCTAACCTTTGCTTGTAGCGCGCCTGTGCGTCATTTTTCACCGTCCTCTTCATCCGTTGATTGACAGCTCTCAATAGGGCCCAGGTGATGACAAGAGTGAATTATGTAGTGTTCCGCTGTGTGTGTGTGTGTGTGTGTGTGTGTGTGTGTGTGTGTGTGTGTGCGTGTGCGTGTTAAAATACCTAAATGTCGTATTTGTGTATTTTAACACACACACAAATCCTGATTTTCGTTTTGTTGTTTTAATTCAATGCTGACGTCAATGATGTTAAGTGAATTGATCGGTCCAGTCCTGTAGCTTATTGAATTCTGTAAATATTAAGGAGAGAAATTAGATCATTTATACAGGTAATTGAGTAAACGTGGTATTTAAAAAAAAAAAAACGGGCCTAGCTTATTAGGCTACAGCTTTGCAAATGTTTTGCTCTAATTTACAGTTTTGTCGCAATATCTTACAATTCATGCATCCAATAGCCTAAAACGAATATTGCATTTCGTCTCAGTAAAATGGCACGTGTTTGCGCGAATAGTTTTTTTCCACTAATTTATCAGCTACCTACTCATAAAAAGCCTAATTAGAACTGATAGACTATAATATGCATTTAACTCATTACTAGGCATATTATCATAAGGACATGCCTCCTTGATTTGTTTCCTTGTTATTCCCCTGATTTTAAAGTCCATCATTAGCCGTAAAAACAGCTGTGATTTGGACAGTGTGGATAACGCGTTAGAAATGATTTTGCCCGTCTCCGCAGCACGCGATTGGAGCTAAGGGTGTGATGTCACACCACCACGAGCCCCTGATTGGCGTTAGGCAGCGGTGTCGGTGGAGTAAACAACGCAGCAAGGAGAGGTCTGAACTTCACATCCCACTCCATCACAGATAGACCGAATCCGATTTTACGCGAAGGAGCAGCACGAAAGTTCCTGACAGTTCCGCTAACTCTACTTTCAAGACCCGTGCCAAAGACTTGGAAAGGCCAGCGGGAGAGCAGTCAGCTGCCGAGACCTCTAAAGAGGTGTCATCATATTTTAACCCGGCTAGAGAGAGAGAGAGAGAGGGGGAGAGAGAGAGAGGGAGAGAGAGAGAGGGAGAGAGAGAGAGAGAACTCGAAATCAGTGCGTTCCACTCCTTAACTTCGCGGCAAAACCATGCTCGTATACTAGGGTCAACGGCATTGCTCCATATTCCAATTTACCCAAGAGCAATTTTAAGAATTAACTTACATTGTTCTCGCTGTTGCAGGCTACCCATCGGGTATGTAGCCTAGACATTCGATGTCAGTTTAAGCAGAACCCGCTGATTTTTTGCCATACAGTGAGCACGCAGGATTTTGGAAGCCACTTTTCTCCGGTGTGTGTGTGTGTGTGTGTGTGAGAACCTGTGGTGTCCCTCTCTCGTCCAGGTGGTCAGCCGGACGGAGCTGAGTCTCCTGCTTGGTCCAGCGGAGCTGTCATGCTGCCCAAAGGCGACACGGAATCTCTGGGACTCGTTCGATCGCATGGAGAACAGGGGCCAAGGAATATGCAAGGTAAGAAATCGAGACCAATTTCGATGACGCATCATTTGACAATATTGTAGACCACATGGCCCGTGTGCATTATCACAGGCGCGAAAGGTGTCATTTGTGAAATTGTGCGTAACTACGGGCGAAAAGACCTGACAATGTAGGACCTAAATAGCCTAGACAAACTCGTCGTGCGTCTCGCGCTTATTCAGCTGTCAACTTGGAATAGTTCACTTATTTGCTGATCATGCATTGTGTATCACTATTAAGGTAGTCTACTCTGGGACGGTCGATGTGTGGCATATGCGAATTCGCTCTACCCACATTCTATAGGAAAGATCATTGTTGCTATTACCGACTTTCTCCAAATAGCGCATGGATTGCATTGTGCACTTTATGAATTAATTAAAAGCACACTATTCACTTAGTCAGATATCATTCGGTTTTATCCATTGTTTTTTATTCCGCCATAGGCTATTAGGAAATTATAGGCTACGGTTAATCTATCATACAGGCCTAGCCACAGTCAACTGATGGGATTTTACTAGGCTAATGAGTAAACATCATAAAGCTCACCCGATTTGCTTAATATGCTAGATCTCATGTGGCAGTTGTTGGAACCTGAAAAATGTGAATTCCCAAAATGTCACCAACTCTAGGCCATTATCTTATTAAACTTCGGTTTCAGCACCATGCAGAATTATGTCAGGTGATGTTATTATTATTTTTTAATTTGGATAAAATAATTTATTTCACGTCACGTTTTTGTCAAAAGTTGATATGAAAAGGGTGATGAATGTAGAACCTTTACTCCAGAACACGAGCGTGCAATTCAGATAGCCTAAGAAATAGGCCTACGACAAAAAAAAGTTTGAATTACAAAAATATGCAATTATTTAAAAATACCCAGTTGGGTTGGACACATTTTGCTTGGAATAATTTTTGTTAAGTTTACAAATTGTAACCTATAACCCGTAGTTTAGGGGCTCCGTGTCATAATGCTGAACTAGCCTACTGCTTGATTTAATTTCCAAAAGTGTCAACGTTTGGAAATTAGATAACTATTTTCGATGAGAATTGAAGTGTTCTGTGCAGGCCTATCGAATTAATATCTCTAAATCCCCTTCATTTTGCCAATTGCACAGTTCGATTATCTTTAAAAAAATTAATAAAGTCTCATTTGGTTTTGATACAAATATCTGATAACTCAACCTTCAAGGCATAAATGGACGGCTAGAATTTTTATCTGACATTTTGCTACATTTTGCACGGGGTAGATTCTCTGAGTGCAAAAGCAAATGCCCTTTTCCAATCCATTTAAACATGGGCCTAGCTTATTTAAAATATCAAACTTTTAAACTGAACATAGTTTTGAGGCTGCATGTTTCTCAGAGGCCCGAGATAAGATTCGATAACTAAGATATAGGTGATATCCTTAGGTTACAGAAAAACTGTCTGAACGTGGCAAAAATCAGACCGAACGTCCTAGAGCAGACTACTGTGTAAGCTATCAAATGGGTTCTGCTTTCCTGTCATCAAAATCCGAGGCCTGACATTTTCATAAGGGAATTTTCGTGCTGGCGGATACGTTTGTAAGATAGTAATACATTTGTAAGATAGTATTACATTATCAGCTAAGGAGCTGTTTTGGGCTAGTCTTCTTATCCCCCACAAATGTAGATAACTTCAGAAGGCTATTTTAACCGTTTCGTATTAGCGGTAAAAAAAAGCTATCAAAACAAATGAGGGACTTGTTGCCTTTCTTTCAACTTAATATTCAGGTAGTAAACGCTGCGAGATCAGAGGGTCAATGGAGAAAAACATGTTCAGCAGACACACAGGCAGAAAGACGCATTTTCAAAGTTACATTATTTTATATAGAAAATAACATTCTAATGTCGGGAGATCACTGACCAGCTTTCCAGTCTGCTCTGAAATTCATTGTGATTATTCTGTTTGATGTTTGCCGCCTTTTAAGAACAATAAATAATGGTCATACCATTGTAAATGTCAGTTCAGCTGTTTGCTAGCACTGTTATATCCGCTTATCAGTGCAATTATGGCCATCAGCATTCATGCCCGTAAAATGTAGGCCTAGACTAAAGCAGGTGCTGATGGGAAGTCAATTAAAATGTATACGCACAGGCAAGAGCAGACACGGAAACAGTAGTTGAAGGCGAACTCATTTGTAAGTTCAATTTAAGAATCAGTTTTGTATTTTTCTTTTGCCTGGTAGAACGAAAGGTTGCACTGTAGGCTATGTCTTCATTTGCCTGTGGGCGGTAACATTTACTCCTCGAATCCTTAACTCTAATATCTTACCATTTCCCGGATGAGTTTGCGACTTAATATCATGAATATTTATGAAGCTCCGTTTCATATGTTCACCCTGTCTGCGAC